ATCACGTTTTTCTGGAGGGACTGTGTCGTATCAAACTTAAACAATAACGCTGCAACCATTCTCCCTTCTACAGTCTGATTTCTGCACTCCAGCGCTGACGTTACGTTTTCTATAATCTGACCTTTTTATTCAACGGGCTGCAGAGATGTGCAAAGTCTGTGTTTCACGTGTTCGACAGCATTAAATACACAAGCACTTCAAATTGAAACACACTTGTGCCGAGTCAAACAAGTTCCAAAAACACGTCTATGTGTCACAATAAATACGGGACATTGCGGTTGTCTGGTGGTTAAACTGCCGTGTCCCTCTACTGTAACCGATCCAACAGAAGCAAAACAAACCGCCGCAGTTTTGCTGGTTAAAGTAGCGGCGGATTATTTAAATACAGAAGGAAAAAGGACGATAACATAAGTTGACAAAAACTAACCGTACCTGTATAGGAGAAGGTTTCTCCCAACCCATCTCAAAGATGCCCATCAGGAGTTCTCTTTTGAGACAGTAATCTTCAAATTCATTCCCCTTAGTGGACGTCACATCCTGCGGGAGACACAGAGTGGGTTAGGGCGACAGTACAAAGCTGGTTTCAAGCCAAAAGATGTGAGAATCATGAACAGACTCACTGAGGTTTTGACCCTGTTGTCTTTGGGAGGGAGCTTTAGGCTCTTTTTCCAGTCATCTCCAAACTTGATGCCTCCTCCGTCCTGAGAGGCTCCACCTCCTATCTGGGGCGCACCCAAAGCCTTTCCTTGAGTTGTGGGTGCCGGCTGGACTGAAGCTGGTTTGGTCTGTCCTCTGAGCTGCCCGTTCTGCTTGTTCAGTCCCATGACGACTGGGCCAACGTTTTCTGTTCTGGCGGTTGCCATGTTTCCTGTTTTACTCGCTTTTGTTTTTGTTGTTTTTTTTTCTTCAAAGTTATTAGATTTTTGCCTCTTAGGTTTTTCTTTTTAAAAAGTCTCTTCAAAAGTAAAAAAGTTTTAATAAAGCATTAACAAACAATATTCTCTATTCTTCTTAAGTCCAAAGCTTTCACAACAGAAGTCAATTTGTGGTATTTACATATACACATGTACGTGCAGTTCGGTCCCCTTCAACAACAGAGTGACTGACGTACAAGAACAACAAAAAAAAAACACGTTTATACACAAGAGCTCTTCAAAATGAAGAGAAATCTGCATTCATATGCATGAATATACTCGCTCACAATATAGAAAAATTATATGTGAACAAGTATCAAAGCGGTTCAAGTCCTGAAATAGAACAACTAAGGCAATCTGAACTTGGGGAACAGCTTCTTCAATATAATCTTAGTTCAACACTTAAGCTTCTGTTTCTAAATCGAACAATAAATTCCTGTTTTTTCACTTCGAGTCCAGAAGAGTCGCTCAGTATCCCTGTCCTTGAAAAAAAGGATGTCCAACTTTGTACAAGTCTTTCCCCAGAGTCATACAGTCTATAATGCTCTCCGTTTGTTTCCACTGTGCGGATGTGCGTCGCTCCACGCGTGAGGAAAAACTGGATCCTGAAATCAAATCACACAAGGGGTTATCTAGTCCAAAGCCCAAAAGCTTTCCACCCCTTTTGAGTCCTCAGTGTACGTTTTCCCGTTTCCTCTCTCTCCTCCTCCTCCGGGTGTTCGGCCCTCGCTCCCCAGACTCCACAGGTCTTCAGGTCGCTGGTGAAGTGTGCGAGTGTGGCCGTGATCAACCCGCTGCCTCCTCGACGTCAGCCAACAACTCAAACCTGTCACCTGGAAATAAAAATACAACCAAAAAAAGGTTTAAATTAAAAACCCGAGCAGTCGACTAATCGCTCAGACAATCGATAAAAAACTGACACACAAACATTTCCTGAGTTCGACTCTTATATTTATAGATATTATCCATCGGGGCGATAAAAACTCAGAAAATTGTATTATTAATTAAATAAAACGAATTTAATTAATACTTTTAAAAAAACTACTTTTGTTAATCATCTAATAATTTTCAGCTCCATAAAAATAGTTGTTTTTTCCACCGTTTTAGATTTTAATTGATTTATTTCTCCTTAAAAACCACAAAAGACACAATAACTGCAGATGTTAAACACTCCCACATCTGTGCCGTCGTATCACTGCCGCTGTTTATCACCACTTTATAATATTTGTCATTTAAATCTCAATTGAACGATATGTTTTAAAATGTATAATCAAATTAAAAGATTTAATCTGTTTATTATCCTTTAACTGCACACGTTGAGGACTGTGGTGTCAAAGAAAATGTTTTAATTATAATTAGTTTCATTATAAAAGATATTTAGGGAGAAGGAAAAAAGGAGAATCAATTTAAATACATCACTTCTGTAATAATAATCTACTCACATACAGACCTAAACACTTCATTTATCCACTGTATAACAACACACTGACACAAACAGTCCGATATATATTTATCTTTATTTATCCTCTATACAGTTCTCTACTTTTATTTTATCTGATTTTACTTTTATTCTCATCTCTACTTTCTATATTTACCTAAGAGTTTATTGTTTGTTTACTTTCTATATTTACCTAAGAGTTTATTGTTTACTTTCT